AGAGCAAACATGTGGCTACAGCTCAAGATCATGTTAGGAGCTTTGTATATTGTCTTTGGAGGAGTTACCGCTTTTCTTTATGCAACCAACAGTCATGGAACTGCTGCCAGCTCTGCTCCACAAATGAGGTGGGTTTCTGTTGTGTGAGTTGCTTTGGTTTGGGTTTTTCATATCATCCTTTCCTCACTGCCCTTAAGCTGCTGCTTTTGGAAAAGAGGAAGAGCTCTGTGGCTGCCTTCCTCAGGAAGGAGCTCATCCTAATGCAGCATTTACCAATTATAGGCCTTTCTATTAAGTTGGGCTGCATGTGATGAGATTCCATGCTGTATTTTCTGAAGACTAATTCAATCTTTCTTATTAGTTTATATAGGTTCTGCTCCATCAAGGGCAGATACAAACAAGCAATAGGACAAAAGGAAATGACCAAGTTGGGCCAGGGGAGGGTTAGACTGGGTATTAGGAAACATTTCTTCCCCAAAAGGGTTATAGTGCACTGGAAAAGGCTGGTGGAGCAGTGGTGGAGCCACCACATCTGGGGGTATTTAAAAGATGTGGCACCTGGGGACATGGTTTAGTGGTGGCCTTGGCAGTGCTGGGGAATGCTTGGACTTACCTTAAAGGTTCTTTCCAATCTAATTGATGCTACAAGGTTCCTGTTTTGGTGTAGACACAATCAACTGTTGCCTAAAGTTACTCTCTTTAAAGAGGGGGGGAAGCAGCACTGAGGCTACAACACTATCTCACTCACACACACACTGTATCCAGCTTGAGTAATGCAAGAGAAACAAAACAAGGGAACATCTGATCACTGACAGCCGTGTGCCACAGCAGCACTACTATCACAACACAACACTGCCCTAAGAGCCTGGGAACTGCTGCTTCAACGGAAGTGACACCAGCTCTGTGCTCACAAACCAGATACAGGTCTGATAACCAAACCAGACGTGTGTCATGCTGCACTCCCAGGTGCCTGTCTGCCAGAGGGTAATGGAGCCATCTCAGGGGACTGATGGAGACCACTCTGCTCTACAGGTAGAGGTAACAAGACCAGAAAGCCAGGGTGAAACAAGCTCTCTGGAGGGAGATCACCTTTCCCCTTTCAAAGTCAAGCTGGCATTAAAAGCTTTGCCCAGGCCCCACCTCCCTGCACTGGGTGACTGAGACAGCATCAGACCTGCCCCTGCAAGTCACAGCCTGCACTGGGATCTACATCACTGGAGTCATTACAGGCTGTAACAGGGTACTGGCATCCTGCTGAGAGGAAACTGAACTTAAAGTACAGCCAAGGGACAAGTCAGAATCCCAGAGTGGTTTGGGTTGGAAGGGGCTTTAAAGCTCCTCCAGCTCCAACCCCAACCCCTTCCACTGGAGCAGCTTGCTCCAAGCCCCTGTGTCCAACCTGGCCTTGAGCACTGCCAGGGATGGGGCAGCCACAGCTTCTCTGGGCACCCTGTGCCAGCGCCTCAGCACCCTCACAGGGAAGAGCTTCTGCCTAAGAGCTCAGCTCAGTCTCCCCTCGGGCAGGTTCAAGCCATTCCCCTTGGCCTGTCCCTACAGGCCCTTGTCCCAAGCCCCTCTCCAGGTTTCCTGCAGCCCCTTTAGGCACTGGAGCTGCTCTCAGGTCTCCCCTTAAGGAGCCTTCTCTTCAGGCTGACCCAGCCACCCTGCTGTCAGGGTGACAACTGTCAGAGGCCACTGGGGGCTCTGCTGCTCAAACTTGATTTCAGTGTAACTGAAGGAAGTTTATGAGCTCACCTTTGGGGCCTGGACTTCGGTTTCACTTTACTGCTGGGTGCAGTGTACAGCCTGAGCTCAGATGGATGCGGATCACACAGAGCGAGTATTTGCAGAGGGGTCTCCCATTTGTCCTGTGACATCCACACACTTGGGGCAGCCTCCAGGCATGGGTTTACCTAAGGAAATGTAGGATTTCCAGAAAGGAGAGGGCACTCTGTGCTGTCCAGAGCACCCAGACACAGCCTAACACTCAGGTGTAGCTTCCAGGGGCAGGGGGGTGACACATGCAGCAGGCAGGAAACTTCTTACAGGAGCTGTGGCACTTGGCTCACTGCTGTTGTTCAGCACCAGCACACAAGCACAGCCCAGTGATCCTCAGTTAAGTGTCACTGCTGTGGCTGTGAGAGCTTGCAGGGCAGCTCAGAACTGGCAGACCACCACACTAACGGCAGAGGACTACACTGTACAAAGCCAAAAGGGCTGTTCCATCAGCAACACACAAAAGCACCCTGGTACCCAGGATCGAAGAGCAGAGCTCATCACACAGCACCTAAGGTGAGGAAAGCAAAAGGTTCACATTTTTCCTCCTTGTTTTTATAAGATTATCCTGTGGGAGCTGCAGGAAAAGCTGTGGCTGCCCCATCCCTGGCAGTGCTCAAGGACACAGGGGCTTGGAGCAAGCTGCTCCAGTGGAAGGGGTTGGGGTTGGAGCTGGAGGAGCTTTAAGGTCCCTTCCAACCCAAACCATTCCATGATTCTATGACTCCCATTTCCTCAGCAGTCACAAGTCGGTTACACCACATTTCTAACCCACAGCACTAGATGGAGCATAAATACATGGCTTAACATTCAATTTAACTTTCAGCTGAAGATTAGCACACATGGTGGTAAAGCAGCACCACCAACTGCAACCACAAGCTAAGGCACTGATAAAGGTCAACAGACACAAGGCAACAAGAAGCAACATTCCTTATCTAAGCCAATGCCCCTAACCCCAGCTGCTGTTATTTTACAGTCTTGTTAGATATAATCAGGTCAGAAAAGCCTTTTAACTTGAGCACTTTGAGCATCTGTGCTCTCCTAACCAGAGAGAGAACACACACCATTTTAAGGCATAACATTTGAAACCAAGCACTAAAACCCAAACCTGCTCAGCTGCCCGGGGTCTGATGTTTCAGCCTGGTTTCTGTTTGATCAGGAAGGAAGCTCAGCATGCAGGGTACAGAAGATACAGGCTGAGGTATTCAAATGCTTCACACAGGAAGTTTCATCTGCAGGATACCCAAAAATCCTTACTCATTCTGTAACGTCACTTCATGGTTTTAGCTGATGTAGAGAACTTGAAGCAAAAGATAAAGTAACAAAAAAATGCCAAGTGTTACATTTGAGGAACAGAATGAACACGGAACTAAAGGAGGGATGGATGCTCCAGCACCCAAAGCTATACATGTGCTGTGGCCTTTGAAACCCAGACTTCAACCCTTTAAAAATAAATAGGAGTTACAGAAATAGCCTGATGTGTGGTTGAAAACAGGCTTCCTGCTGCATGGAAACCTCTTCCAGACTGGAGAACTAAAGAACTTGAATGGCTTAACTCTATAGATCTAACTAAACTCTATGTATCATTCCTGACTGAGTGCAATTAATCCTGTATGGACATAGAAGTCGAACAATGAGCCAAAATGATGGATGCTGCCTTCATGTTTTAAGCCACTGACATTAACACCCTCAGAATAAAGAGAATGAAACCTTCCTGAATGTATCTGGCCTGACATCAAACAGCTTCATGTGGCTTCTACTTTAATTTGATCTTTTCCCACTTACAGACTTATCTTCTCCAATCCTTGGCTAAAATTAGTCACACTGTACAAGAGCTTTTAAGAGCCATCATCATTAATCACCACTTGTCTGTGTCATTTCTAAAGATGCCACGAATTCACATGAGAGCTGCATTACCAAAGTCATTTTGCTTTTGTTGCTATAAACTGGACCGCATTCAGCATCCTTCTCAACCCCATCAGAAAGCTGGAGACACAAACACTTGCACACATCATCTCTCCAGCCACTGGCTCCTGGATCCTGCAATTCTCCCTCTATTTTGCACGAGCAGCTTCAACGCTGGGGCCAGTTGAGATTATGAGGAGAGAGAAACGGATGTGTGATGACAAAGAAGGAACACACAGGAACTCCTCTTTATCTGCCCCCATATGGGAAGGAGGAGGAAGTGTTACAAAAATCTACAGGCAGAGAACTTCATGCCTAGAGCAGGGAATTTCACCTTTTCTAATGAAATAAAGCTTTGGGTGGCAGAGAGTGTCTCCTTGCTGCAGGTTCAACACAAAATGACTCCAATCCCTAATACTATTGCAGTAGAAACACAATGACTTCCCATATTTCAGAAGACACCAGGAATCCAGATGGAAAGTATGCCCTGATGGCAAAGGTCAACAAATCCCTCAAAAGTCTTGTCAGGAATGAAGATTTAAGAGAGCAAAATTATTTAATTTCTATCAAAGCCCAATTTTCATTTCAAATTCTAATGTTGCTTTCTATCAAAGCCAAAAATCCCTAAGCTGGACTCAGAATACAACAGTAGAAGACCAAACAAACCCCACAGCAAATTATCTTTTAAAATCATTCTGATTTCTTGAGACAGAACTAGAAGAAATGAATTTTTAAGCGAAAAGACATAAAATGACCCTGCTTGATGTCTGGTTATAGCCAATACATCCCATTGTCCTGTTAAGACAAAAAACTAATGCAACCACAAAGGTCCTTTCCCTCAGAGCACTGCATAAAGTTGCCCTCAGTTCCAAGAGGGAAGGAAACCATCCACCTGCTTACTTCCCCATGGATTTAGTATGTCTGAGCCTGCAACAACCAAAACTATTCCTGGGCTGGTTATTCCAGGCTCAACTTCAGGCCCAAAAAGCAGGCTCCATTGCAGTTCAAAAGGAAAGAGAAGGCCAGATCTCATCTTACAGCTGGGTCAGAAGACACGATCCAAATGAGCTGCCTACATATTTATTTCCTTTGCTCATAACATTCTAGCAAGAGACAACTGCAATGTACGTGCCAAAGAGAAGGATTTCAAGTATTTGAAGAGAACAAACGCCATAACATAAGCACCACAAAGAAGAAATAGCCATCAGAAAACCATTTCAAATCAGCTGAACAAGCTTTTCAAAACAAGTCCAACAACATAAACAGGCAAAGGAAACAAGGGCTCATTATGCAAACAGCATCACCACCACATGCGCTGCTGCAAACAACCTCTTCAGCTTTATTCAGAGAGCAGCAGAGCATTTTCCATCCTATTCCAAGCACATCCAAGTGCCCAACACATTCAGAGTTCAGACAGTAATCACATGAAAGGTGGTTCCCTTCATTCCCTGCATCTGGAATTGCATTTCAGTCAAGCTCTGGGTGTAGATATTGCTATTGAAACACGAACACCCCATGGTTCACATTGTTCCAAGTGCTCTTCGGGGCAGTTACTAACCATCAGTATAACATCAACCCAGAGTAAGGTCTTCAGCAATCTGAAGTCATAGCACCAACTTTCCTTTAAAAGGACATTCCCACATCTGGAAATTCTCTGGTCTAGAGAGAAGCAGCAGAACAAAAAGATACAGCAACAAAAACACAAGATGGTTTCATCATTGCTTCTAAAGTGTGATGTACTTCAAAGTTCTCAGTCACAACCTTCATCCTTTCCATCTATGCAAAGCCTGACACTGTTACTTCACTTTCACAGCCACTCCACAATCCAGGACAAATTTAGAGGGATGTTTTATCCAGTTCACAGACAAGGAATTCCTTAACCTGCTGGCTCTTCATCCATCCTATGCAAAGAGACCTGCTCCTTCATTTCCTGCTGAAGGAAACACATCCAAACATGACACGACCTGTTAGTCCACAGCCAGGAAAGGACTTCTAACACACATTCACCTGAACAAAAGAAGATTGGAGTGGTTATTTATATGTGTTCTTCTATCTGAGGACAGTCAAACAGCCAAGCCACCACCAAAGTTAAATCCATTCATTCCCAGATCCCAAAACAATCGCTGACCAACTGATAACTTGCGGAAGTACAACGAATGACACACAAGGGATGTTTATTGTAGCTGAAACATTTAGTAGGGCCTATTCTGCATTTTATTTTACCAGTCCTGATACACAGCTGTGCATTTCCCAACCCATTTTACCTTTTAATAACCACAAATGCTATTTACCAAAAGACATAACCACCTGAAAAGCTGCCTCAAAACACAGATGACACTTCAGCAGTTAACCTCTTTTGGGGCAATATTCCTGACACTAAAGCTGCTCACCACTACTTGTCCCTAGTTCTTATCCCCCATGACCTCACCTGACATTGCAAAGGATGAGAAGATTCTGGACTGCAGGAAGAGTGGAATTCTCATTCTGTCCTGTCACCAGGTGCCTGTCCAGTACAACATGCACAGCATCTGGACGGCTGGCTAAACGCAGGAGGAAAAGCAACAGGAATCATGTTAGTGGACACTACTTCAGTGTCAGTATCACATCTCTCATGGAATTTACACAAAAGGGGACTGTTTTGACCAGATTTGCTGGGTGACGGACACGCTGATCAACAACTCCAACAGACAGGGACAGTATTAAAGCCCAAATGGTGAAATGATTTCACTAGAAAGACTTTCTATGGAAGGACAGCAGGACTGGTCCCTTGATACAATTAACACCAGGTGGATAAAGTGCATATATCAAGAAATTTTCCATGATGAAACCATCAAAGCAAAGGTTTCTTCCTCAGAGCTCAGCTCAGTCTCCCCTCTGGCAGGTTCAAGCCATTCCCCTTGGCCTGTCCCTACAGGCCCTTGTCCCAAGCCCCTCTCCAGCTTTCCTGCAGCCCCTTTAGGCACTGGAGCTGTTCTAAGGTCTCCCTTTCAGGAGCCTTCTCTTCTCCAGTCTGACCCAGCCCAGCTCTCTCAGCCTGCCTCCAGAGCAGAGCTGCTCCAGCCCTCACAGCATCTTTGTGGCCCTCCTCAGGGCTTTCTCAAGCAGGTCCAACTAATCATTTCTAATCCCCAAGGGTATTTGTTTCTATCATGAAATGGGAACACAAAATGGGATATTCTGTCAGAGTCTTGTGTAAAACCAGCACACAAACATTAACTCCCCAAACGCAGCCATGAAACATGTAATCCTGGACAACAGGAAAGTGCCATACCACTGAACGTAGCTCCAGAATCCTTCACAAAGTCTTCCACAATAATGGACAAACTGGCAAAATTAGGCTGTCGGACTAGTTCATACACAGAGGGCTGGAAAAGAACAAAAGGAAGGAAGTCTGGCTTGGTTTTTACAGGAAAAGCCAAGCAAAGCCAACACATATATCCCCCTACAATTCTCCCAGCTGCATACAGGAAATCAGAGAGCAATGAAGCCTAAACCCAAATGATCACAATCAACTTCTATGGGTTTTCTATAGGGGACAAACTGAAAACTCTTAAGTGAAAGCAACAAAGAGCAAGAATGACACCAAGCAACTCCTGCACATCAACCAGACACAGAGCAGTGTGCATGGAATCAACGTGATGAAAGTGCGGATCTCTTTGGGTGTTGGCCACAAACATCTGGACACAAATGCTGTGCCACTTGCAAACAACAGTACTCTGCTTTGGAATTAATATGGAATACAGATTAAGAGAGAAAAATTGGAATCCCAAGTTCAGTTTTTATCTGCACAGGTGGACACTGGTTTTCTTATGGTTTCCATAGCCAGAGTACCCCAGAAGTTGTACTAGAGAGTTTTGCATCACTCTGGAACACAGGTACAACTGCCATATCAATGGCCTGTGAATACATTAAATAAATCAACAGCATCTACTTTAATCACAGACCAGTCTGTACTAACAGCTTTTTCCCCTACAACTTCCTCTGCCTTTTACAATGAAAGAGCAGCTTGAGAAGCAAAAACTTGGCCCCAGCACTCATGAAACCTAAAAGCAATTCTTAAAAGCCCTCAACAATGAATGCAGGGAGCTGCAGCAGCCACTCCCAGCTCTTTATTGCTTCAGTTTCAAACATCCAAGATTGTTTACTGAACAATCAGAAGGAAAAAACACGCTCCACATGACAGGAGAGACAACCCCTTTGTGCACTCAGTGCTGGGCCCCCTTCCAATGACAGCTCTTTATCTCTTCCACATAAATCAAGGGTACCATACTGATGATTTATATTATGAGAGATATCAGCTCCATCACCTGAAATCACAGGCTCACACGCAGCAAAAGCCAGGTGAAAGCTCAACCTACCCCTGTCAAGCTGTATCCTTGAAACACCCAGGATTTATCCTCATTGGTGGCACAACACAAGGCTGCGACTCCATGTCCAACTGCACAGATGGGCTCTGTGAGAGAAAAATCAAAGCATATTTGAGAGTATCTTCAAACAGGCAAAACACAGATGCGGGTTAAGGAGATTCTTCATGCTATAGCATGTTCCCTTCCTGCAGTAAGATTATACCACACTCTCTCAAGCTGTAAGGTTTCTCCTACACACCACAGAAGAGCCCCAGTCTTGCAAAGATTTACTAGCTGTTAACTCCAAGCCTGGAGACAGCACCAGTCAAAGAGAAGAACATGTGCTCAAATGGTAAATGAGAGACAAACACAAGTCTTGATTAACTACAGCCTCAATGGTGATCCTGGTACATTCCACATTTGGCTCAACCTTGAATCACGCTGACTTGGAGAGCACCATTTCTGTATCACTGTGAGGCAGAGAATCCTCTACTGATATATTAGTATGAGGTGTCCCTGCCCATGGCTGGGGGTTAAAACTAGATGATCTTAAGGTCCTTTCCAACCCTAACTATTCTATGAGCATTAAAAAGCTACAAGTATTTTTTATATGCATTTTACATAAAGAGGCTACTTCTAAAGACAAGATATATAACTCTAAGGCAGCCCTTGCCAGCTATGAACACTCTTCAGCTATGTGAACATTTTTAAGTCACTGGAAGGTAACAGTCCTGCATTAACAGCACAGCACTACTATTTTACTTAACAAAACACCTAATGATGTTCACCTACTGTTCTCAGTGCTGAAGTGCTGCAGTATCTTCGACAAGTACCCACTGTTTGCAAGGTCAGTCATAGCACCAGGACAGTTTGGAATCAGCAATGCATGGTACCTAGCACCTGGTGAGGAGGAAAGGATAAACTCATTGGGATAAAAGTACCAACCAAAAGAGCCTGAGCACAAACCTATTTCAGATTTGACAAAATTCAGACAATACCATATAAACCAGTCAAAACCTGGGCTGAGCTTAATGATCTATGTGGATAAAATGGTCCCTTTTAGGACAAAGGGCCTCGGAATGGTCAAGGCCAGGTTCAACACAGAGGCTTGGAGCAACCTGCTCTAGTGAAAGGTGTCCCTACCCGTGGCAGGGGGTTGGAACTGGATAAGCTTTAAGATTATATCCCTTCCAGCCCAAAGCAGGCTGGGATTCTGTGATTTTTAATGACATATTCTTACCTGAGCAAAACCTAAACCCACTATGTCTGCTAGGTTCTATTTTAGCAAAATACTTATTTTAAACAAGTATTTAAATAACTATATATCATGTATATATATATACACACATGTGAAAATATGTTGCGTCTACATAAAAAATATATCTATACAATATATGTTTTACATATAAAAAATTTATATATGAATATGTATCAATCCAAGATATAAGAAAACAACTGCAGTTGCTAGGACTTCCTCTTACATAAAAAAATAACAACTGTATTTGCTATGCTTCCTCTAATAATACAAGTTTTATGCCTTTTCTGTGGTGCTCTTCCTAACACTAGGAAGCACTTGTTTCCCTGATAGATGGAGATGACACACAGGTGAGCAGTGAAGCTCTTACCATCAATGGACTCCAGTTTAGCAGGGCTGGAATAGGATTTCATACGGAAGTCTTGGACCCAGCGCATGTTGCTCTCATTCATATCCACAAAATCAATTGGCTTTCCCTAGGGAAAACACGGTTCAGGGGGTTGGAACTGGATGAGTTTTAAGGTTCCTCCAACCCAAACCAGTCTGGGATTCAAGCTATGACAGAACCATACAGGAAGCACTCATACACTTCAATATTAAGAAAACAGAACTAAAAAGAGCCCAGTAACCTATAAAGCCAATAAAACACTCCTCAAAAAGACTTAGTATAATTCTCTTGTCTCTTGGGGTATCAATTGGTTTCAGGCTGAAATCACAGGAACTGCCCATTTTCACTTACCCCAGGAGTGGCAACTTGCAGATTAAAAGCAGAACTCGTCAGGGTAAAGCAGTGAAGGAAGGACTGGGCTGACACACCTGAAAAACAAGAGTCCAACAGCTTCAGAACACAACAGTCACACTTCAATCCCAGCCACGGAAAGGTAATTTCATCTAGCAAAGCACAGCAGCTTGGGTTTCCTGCTCATCTTCAGAGCTCTCAGTCATTTCAGGGGGTTCTTTTAAGGTATCAGAAATTAAGAGCCTTCATTACAGGCAAACTGTGTGTTGAGAAACTCAGGAGGAAGCTATTCTGGGTGTCTGGGTGCTTCACCCCAGTCCGCACACATGGAAGCACAGCTTAGCAGCCCCTGTGTCAGCAGGAGGTCCTGAGCGGCACAGCTGTGCATCGTGCAGATGTGCACTGCAGGTGAGCACTTACGGAGGGCAAACATCTGGGCACAACACAGCTGCACAAGGGGCACAGCAGTGCAGGCGTCACAGCACTGATCTGCATTGAGGAGTTCCCCCCTCCAGGATAACCAGGCCCAGCCTCTCCTCATCAGGGGGATGCTTCAGACCCCTCAGCATCCCTGTGGCCTTCCCTGGACCCTCTCCTTGTCTTTCTTGTGCTCAGGAGCTCAGTACTGCACACAGTGCTCCAGATACAGCCTCAGCACTGTCGAGCAGAGGGGGAGCATCACCCCCTCGACTGCTCCCCATGCACCCAGGATACTCTTGTCCCTCCCGGCATCAACGGCACGCCACCGACTCACAGCCACATTATCCTCCACCACCATGCCCAGCCCCTTCCCAATGAACGGCCCTCAGCAGGGCACCCACACACGGCGAGGCAAAGGCCCCGCACGCAGGGATCCGGCCACGCAAGCCTGAGGCGGGGAAGCGGAGATGGACACAGGGGACCCGCAGGCCGGAGGAGCGAGCCCCACCGCCGCGCTAAAGCGAGCAACGGGGCCCGGCGAACCGAACGTTCTCCCCCCCCCGAAAGCATCTCACCCGCGGCCGCGGCGCTGGCGACGATGAGACAGCTCGGCTTGCCCAGCCGGTCCGACATGGCGGCGGTGGTCTCCTCATGGGGCCGCGCATGCGCAGGGCGGCGGAGCCTGGGGGAACAGAGCGGAGGGGGCCGGTGGGGCCGCGCATGCGCAGAGCGGCGGAGCCCAAGGGAAGAGTGCGGAGGGGGCCGGTGCAGCCGCGCATGCGCAGAGCGGCGGAGCCCAAGGGAAGGGAGCGGAGGGGGCCAGTGCAGCCGCGCATGCGTAGAGCGGCGGAGCCCGAGGGAACAGAGCGGAGGGGCCGGTGCGGCCGCGCATGCGCAGAGCGGCGGATCGTGGAGAGTCTAAAGAGCCGGGACCGATGGGAGCGGGTCATGGGGGCAGCTGGCCCGTGTCCCGCGCCAGTGCGAGCCCCGGGGGTTATGTCTGTATTGATAGGGTTTACCTCATTACATGGGGCGGAAACAGTGAGGACTTGGTGTAGGGACCGTTCACATCGGAAGGGGGAGCGGGTGACACCGCGGTGAGGATTGGGAATGAAGAGGCGTCCGTGTCCGGATGCCCCATCCCTGGCAGTGCCCAAGGCCAGGTTGGACACAGGGGCTTGGAGCAAGCTGCTCCAGTGGAAGGGGTCCCTGCCAGCAGTTGGATGAGCTTTAAGCTCCCTTCCAACCCAAACCATTCCGTGTCTCCATGATGATCCTATGGAATGTCTGCTGGGTTTCAATGCCCACATCCAGCTGCGGGGCTGGGCTCCATAGCTCATGCTCTAAACTACACAAAGTCCCTCCTCAGGCGATTGCCACAGCATCTTCACCCAAAGCCCAGACCACAGCGGTTTGTTCCAATGGTGCTGTGCTCCTGACACACGGGATAAGGAGGAACAAAACCCCCTGAGAACCCCCCTGCATCCAGCTCTGGGGAACAGCACCAGAAGGACCTGGAGCTGCTGGAGGCCATGGGGATGCTGCAATGGAGCAGCTCTGCTCTGGAGCCAGGCTGGGAGAGCTGGGCTGGGGCAGCCTGGACAAGAGAAGGCTCCTAAAGGGGAGACCTTAGAGCAGCTCCAGTGCCTAAAGGGGCTGCAGGGAACCTGGAGAGGGGCTTGGGACAAGGGCCTGTAGGGCCAGGCCAAGGGGAATGGCTTGAACCTGCCCGAGGGGAGACTGAGCTGAGCTCTTAGGCAGAAGCTCTTCCCTGTGAGGGTGCTGAGGCGCTGGCACAGGGTGCCCAGCAGAGCTGTTATGAATTGGATGTTCTTTAAGGTCCCTTCCAACCCAAACCAGTCTGGCTCTGTGATGAACCCAAACTGGTTTTACGGTTCTGGCTTCATCTCTCACTGGCTTAACCTGGTTTGAAGCTATTCCAAGTTCTCTCTCTGGTTTTGCTCTTCATACTTCTCACCCTTGGGACATCGTGAGGGACAGACGTCAGGGACTGCAGTGACAGGACAAGGGGTAATGGGTTCAAACTGAAACAGGGGAAGTTTAGATTGGATCTAAGGAAGGTGAGGGTGGTGAGGCACTGGAATGGGTTGCCCAGGGAGGTTGTGAATGCTCCATCCCTGGCAGTGTTCAAGGCCAGGTTGGACAGAGCCTTGGGTGCCATGGTTTAGTGTGAGGTGTCCCTGCCCATGGCAGGGGTTGGAACTGGATGATCTTAAGGTCCTTTCCAACCCTAACCATTCTATGGTTCTATGATTCTTCACAGCCCTGATCTAATCCCCCAACTACTTATGTTATATAGAATGGTCTGAGACACGTGAGGATCCTTCAGAGTGGTTGCTGGAAAAGATGATGGATGAAACCCATGGATGAAGGACTTGGTCATTTCCTGGAGCCACTGGGATGAGCATCAGAACCGGAAGCTAAATGAAGTGACCCCAAACCTTTCCAAAGCTGTGCATCCCATCCTTTCTGTCTGGTCTGGGTTGTGTCCTTCGTGTATGCTCTGTATCTTCAATAAGATGTTCTTCCTTAAGGAACACGTTTGCTCATTGCAGGTTTCACTGCTTTTGGCTCTGTACTTTCTCCAAACCTTGTTCAGTTTCAGGACTCGCGTTTTTCATCCCTGTTAATTCCATCGGTTTAGCTCAATGCTTCCCTGTGTATTACAAAGTGAAAGTGCCATTATGGAATGATAAATACACCGTGAAGACAGCCCAACTCTGCCTTTATTCTTGTTTATGTATTTGAAAGGACCTAATTGCCAGCTTTCCTAAAGGAAATGTAGCTCGTGCCATCGGGCTGGTCCCTGTCTTCAATCCTCAGTCCATCAATCTCCTCTCCTGAAGTGTGTTCTGGGTCCATAGGCTGTGGAAATACTTGGAAGTTCCTCCTGCTTTGTCCATCTTTTATAACCCCAAACAAACCCAGAGTGTATCTTTCACTATTGAGTTTAGCTACCAAGAGAGAGACTTAGTGCCACCCCAGCAGCCTAAGCCTTCCTGGCACAGAGCATCACATTTATGCTCTTTAATCCTTGCTCGTGAATCCGGTGCTTTTGCTAAAACTCCTATCTCCAATCCTGCTCCATCAGCTCCTCCCACCCTCCCTAAACTGCCCCAAATCCAAAGCATTAGAGGATGGGACAATGATTTAAAGGGAAAAGATTGAAGAACAATCATTTTCGAGCATGCCTCACTTCCTGGGAGATTAAATTGTTCAGTGACACCCTAATACTTGATCTTTCCCTGCTTTCCAAATGGTCTCCTGTTGAATTCTCTTCCAGTGAGCACTGGAAATGCTTTGCAGCCACTCTCTGCTTCGTTTGTGTGGTTAACAAATAGGAGTAGTTACAGCACAGCGATGGGATCACAAGGACAATAAGGAGTTATTTGCTTCTTCACACAGACCATTCTTTGTGATGGAGCCTGGACGTTGTGGTTAGTTCAAATGAGATGACTGCTTCCTGCTCTGCTCTGATCTGAGAGCACGAAATTGCCACATTTCTCATTTATAGCACATATAACACAGTGATTTGGCCCTGCCTCGTTTTCTGTGGCTAAATAATGGCTGGAGTGGAAGGGAGCAGGGAAAAGCAAAGCATAGTTTGGGCTAACTCTAAACGTAGCCTCTGATTTTCATGCTTCATAAATATCTATAAATACATGGAGGGGAGGAAGTAGATGAAACACAGACTGGATGGATGCAACACAGCCAAAGCAGTGCTTGAAAGCACCAAGCTGGTGTTAGTGCTCCCTGTGCTGGCACCACAGCTGCACTGATGTGTGTCTGCCGCTGCCCTCCTTGGCAGCGAGAGGAGACACGGGTTTTGTTTGAAGGAGACCCAAGAGGAAGATTCTCCAGCCCTTGCCCTCCTCTCTATCAGTCAGCAGCGCTGGTTCATCACAGGCCAAGGAGGACACCTTGTGCAGGTGCCTCCACTGAGTCCAAACTATAGGGAGAGCTTCCAAGTTGTAGCAGCATCCCTGCTGCCTTCCCCTTCACAGGAAGGTGATGAGAATCCCAGACTGGTTCATGCTGGAAAGAGACCTTAAAGCTCCTCCAGCTCCAACCCCAACCCCTTCCACTGGAGCAGCTTGCTCCAAGCCCCTGTGTCCAACCTGGCCTTGAGCACTGCCAGGCATGGGGCAGCCACAGCTTCTCTGGGCACCCTGTGCCAGCGCCTCAGCACCCTCACAGGGAAGAGCTTCTGCCTAAGAGCTCAGCTCAGTCTCCCCTTGGGCAGGTTCAAGCCATTCCCCTTGGCCTGTCCCTACAGGCCCTTGCCCAAAGCCCCTCTCCAGGTTTCCTGTAACCCCTTTAGGCACTGGAAGACTGTTATAAGGTCTCTCCTTGAGCCTGACAGGTCAAGGGAATCCCTGGCTCACTGGTGTGCAGGAACCTCCCTGGGTATCAGCCAGGTACCCAGAGGATTGTTCACTCACAAGGATGGATGCTCCTGGGCCAACTTCAAGACAAAACCCATCAAATTACAGGTATCTGAGAGGAGAGAGGTCCCAGCAAATGTGCAGCCAAGCCTAGAGACCACGGGATCACTGGTATCAGTAATGTTTCCTTTGTGGCTCCGGGCAAGTGTAATTCCATGCTTTAGCTTCCATGTGGGAATAACAAATCATCTTCCTTTGCCTGCTTTCCTCAGGTAGGTTGGCATTTACCTGGGTAGGAACTGCCTTTGCTTACAGTTCTTACCGGGATCCCTGCTCCTAGCAAACACCAAACCTGTCAGAAGCATGGGCATGAGTAAAGAGGGAGAGGGATCACAGCCATTTTCACTCACAGCCTGCATACACAAAGATGCTCACAGGAGGAATTATACAATATAGCTATGTGTGTATATATATCTCTGTATATAGTTTATTTCTCACAATCCTGGTAAGAGTTACAGGTGTATTGGGAATCATTTACAGTTTCACAGCATATGGAGTGGCCATACAGCTTCTGATGTGAGTAACATACAATGTGTAGAGAGCACACGTTTCCAAACCCATCCACCCACCACTCATACAATGGGTTTTCAAAGCTAATACTAGATTCAGCTACATAGAAAGCCTGGAATATGGTCGGGTACAGCGTTGGGTGTCGGACGACACTGTCAGTCACAATGGGACAAGCTAAACTACTTTAATTTTCAATCTAGTATTTCTAGTCTACCTGCATTATTGCATTTATACGCTTGTTTTTGTTTTAAGTCAAAGTAAAGAGAATACTATATGGGAAAGGAAAATTCTTGACTATTTTAGGATTTGAGCTGCAGCCCATACAAAGTGTCCATAGAAGCATAGACAAGGTTATAAATTCAACAAGGTAGAAATCAGCTGGATAGCTTTGTGTGTAGGTAGGTGTCCATTTCCCTCCAGGAAATGTGTCTCAGCAGCATATTGTGCCTGAAAGCAAAACCCAAACCAAACCTGTATGCTGAACACAGGTAAAGAGGTGCCAGTGACGAGCAGGCCTGTTTGTACAGGGAAGAAATCAAGGTGTTGCTCTGAAGATCACTATCCTTTGCAAAACACATGTAGGGGCTGGCTCAAACCCCACTGGTGCCATTGGGAAGATGCCTGTGGGGTAGCAGCAGGCGCTTCCCTGCTACCAGCATGAACTTCCTGAGGGCTTTGCA